GTAGGGTAGAATACTCTTAATAGGAGGTCACCTATGTGAGTGTGAAGTGGGGCCGCTTCAATGAGAATTATTTAAGGCTTAAATTCTCTAAACACTCGCAGAACTAAGAAGGATTCAGGGTCAAAATGAACTAATTCATGAGAACCATGAATGCTTTAGGAAAGACATCTGTGTGAGTATCGTTGTCTTGGCTCACACTAAAGGCTGAATTGTTCAAGACATCACGTTCACCGATTAGCCGAGTAAGTCCGATGGTATTTCACTATTGGAGGTTCAAGGCCAGAAGCTACTATCCCCGATGCAGTGACTTTCTGCTCTCTCTCTACTTGCATCACATCATAGCATTACATTTGCATACTCGAATTTTCATTCATGCGGGGGATTGTTGGAATTGGTTCAAAAATTAACCGAAAATTCATTAAGTGTAAAATTGGGAAAATGAAAATGTGTGACTTCGTGTCAACTTTGGTTGAATGTTCGGACTTGATCTGATGGTTAAATTACAAAAGTAAATAGATCAACTTATTCTACTTGTCGAGTAGATCGTCGTGGTATATTTGGAATCTCGAAACCAATTCCAGATGAATGAAAAATTGCGGTCCAAAGTTGGAAAAATCAAGTGTTACAATTTTTCAAAAGGATGCAGATTGAAATAAAGTGTTGCAACTTTTCATGAAAAATGCTGAATTTGGGGTGGGTCCCTTCACCCACATCCTTTCAACTTCTATGTATAGGATCCCTTGGACATTCATTTGAAATTCCATATTGTTCATTTCGTGTCATGTTGCATCAAATACTTTATAAAATTGATTATATCTTGCATCCAAATCATAGTTATGGTAGAGAGGAAATTCCGTTCGAATTCATTGGTCAAAGTCATTTGAAGTGCTCCAATGACTTGACATGGTCGTTGCATTTTGGGAGATAATTGTTGAAAAATTGTTAGCACCGATACGGGGCAAATTCATCTTAAAGAAAGAGTGTCATGAACCCTTGTCTCTGCCAATTGCATCACTTGCATCTAATTTTCCTTATTTCTATTTTCTTTTATCATATTTGATTTCACAAATTAAATAATATTCTTTGATTTCATGTAAGGTTGAAATTCAAAAATAGAAATGGATGAATCCATATTCATGTGTTCGGAATCAGATTTAGTAATTACTATTTATCTTCTCAAATCCAGATTCGGTAAATCGAAACTTTGATTTGAATTCGTGAATGTATAAAGTACATTTTTTTGAATATAATATGCACAATATCGATATAATTTTCCAACAGAATAATGTGTTGTGGTTAGACGCCATACTCATTATCGGAGCTCTATGCCATCGTCATTGATTTCAAGTGAAAGCATGCATCTAGGATTGCTTGCAACTACATCTCATGTCGTTACTACTAAGACCATGTTTGTTGTTTATTACAAGCCAATGTCTTATACATGTGCTCTTTTACTATAATACTTACTGTATAAGTAAGTCGTCTTTGGACATGCATGTTCTTGTACATGTCTTCTGTGGAAAACCTTCCTAGAACAAGTCAATTCATCAAAGGCCTAAACAAATATCTAGACGCCATAAATCATGGTTTTTAAGTTGGCCCTGTATTCAAGATGTGATTTGAGGGTGAGGATTCTTTTGAGAGAAGGTTGTTAAATATACACAAAAGCTTATTATATCTTTTATCAACTTACAGGCTGAGTCAATAGGAATGTATACCCGTCTTCATGATACTTTTGTAGCTTATAACTTAACTATGATTGATGTATGAAACCCAGCTTTTGAAATGTTCAAATCACCCTTTATTTACTCATTACAGTATTATTTCAAGCTTTATCTTAGTATATCAAATGTTTTCAATACTAATACAAATAAATTTGTCTATACCTAAGCTATTACAAACTCAATTAAACCTTCTACGCTATTACAAACTCAATTAAACCTTGTCACGTGCCTTGCACATGCGTCTTACTAGTTCTAGTCTATTAAGAAAAATTATGCCACCCAAAAATTTACTCTGCATTTTGGTTAATTCATTGTTTTGACAAGAAGATAAATATCACTGCTATTAACCGCAAAATCTTTGCACTGGGATAGGCAAAGGATAAAATTGGGATAATTTACCGAGCAAAGAGTAGGATTATGCTGCAATTTGCAAAATACAAGAATTAAGAGCATGTCAACTTGGAGTATGATATTATTTCCTGGTTTTGTTCATTTATGTTTGTCAAGAAAGCTCTTCCATGTTGAACTATTGTCACCTGAGTATTGGACTCTGCTGCTTCTGCCAATATTTGACGAATCATGTAAATTTGAACGAAACAATGGACACTAAATAAACAATTAGATAATTAAAGACACAATGTACTAATAATTAGTAATGTTTAAAGTTCAATATACAAAAAATTATGTTTAAACTCATTATCTCGGACCATATGAAGAATCTATTGACGACACACTGTGTCTGGAATGGGTATCTTCTTCTTCCAAAGTAGGGTTCTCTGCATTTCCTTCTCCCAGACTATAGATCTCTAGTTCTTCTTTGAAGATCGGGAACAAAAGGTCGAGCGAATCTTTGTGGTTCTCTGCTAGTGCTTGCCACCACCACCTGCTTCCTTTTATCTGTTTGAGAGAATGGAGTAACTGCTGCCTGATTTCCACAAAAAATGGAAGGACTTTCAGTTCTTTGCATCTGTAAACTTCAATGCTGGATAAGGAATCACAAGTCATTATTCCATTGAATATGTGCCTTAGTTCTGGCAAAGAACTTAGTTTCAATTTTTGTAATCTTGGGAAGTCAATTTTCACATTGTTTACTTCTGTCACCCCTTGATTGTCTTCTCCTGGTGCTATTATCTCCATCATTTTGTCACAATTTTGAACTGTAATTTCTTCAAGGTTCCTTAGATGCTGAACCAACTCAAGTGGAAGTAGTGTCTTTAAATCATTACATGCTGTGACATTCAATACTCTAAGGCTTGCAAGAGTACCTACTGGTGTTATTCCTCTGCAGAGTCCACTTAACTTGCTCAAACCCTCAATCTCCAACCACTCTAAGTTGGGAAACGTGCTCCATTCAGCTGTTATAATCCATTCCATCTCATCACAATAGTTTATCCTACAGTGTTGTAGTTGAGAAGCTGCAGCAGTTATACAGACTGGCAGGTGAGTAATACCTGTACAATCCTGAATTTCTAACTCAAGAATCCTTCTTGGCAAACAATCAGGACTTAGACCTTCAGAGATATGAACTCCAAAGAATCTGACACTATCAGTCCCCATGCGTGTGGAGTACGTGGGATGACCAATGACAAATCTAAAATTCTCTAGCATATTCCAGTGACCTGATGCTATGTACTTTTCAAATTCTTGCATGGTGCTGAAATTTGCTTCAAGTACTGCCAAACTGCTGCAGTTTACCAGAGCATCAACAAAGTTCGGCTCCTGACTAAATAGTAGACCGTTTATAAAGAGGCTCTCCAGGAACTTGTACTCGCGGAAACGAAGAACTGGAATTTCATAAGCTCCAGTATAGGAGAGGTCAAGATATTGAAGGTTAACCAACATGTCCATCCCTTCTGGCAAGTGCTCAATTGATGTGTAAGAGAGGTCCAAAACCCTTAGCTCCTTAAGCTTTGCTACAGTTGGCACATGGGACAGGTTCCAACAACTGCATAACAGTAATGCACGAAGGCTCACCAGATTGGATAGTGATATTGGTAAACTGTCAACTCCAGTGAAAGATAAGTCCAGAACTTTGAGGTTTTGCATATGATGAAAGAAAGAATGATGTATTTCTTTGTTGATAGAATTGTACTGCAATAGCAGTGTGCAAAGCTTAGGACATTTTGGTTCACGACTTAAACAGCTCAAATCATTTCGCATTAGTGACACTCTCTCAAGTTCCGGAGGCCATTCATTCTCCACTGGTGGCAATTGTAAACCAAGACCAGCTTTAATCATAAAACTTGAGTTTGCTCTAGTAAGTGCAATCACCATATCCCTAACGACATCATGCATCTTCACATATTCATTAGTATTTCCATCTTGATAGACACCCTCTATCATACAAGCACTCTTTAGCTCATATACAATTATTTTACCCAGTCGCATCTTAACCATTTGACTCCCAACACTACCCAATAAGCCTTCCCATAACCAGTATTTTATCAACTCTCCCACTTCAATGATGTGATCCTCCGGGTATAATGCACAGTACAAAAAACATGATCGAGTCATATCATCTTTCAACCTGTCATAGCTAAATCTCAAACGTGCAAACACCTGATTATCCACTCCTTCGATATTAGCAGTTGAGTTCTTCAATTCACTTAATGCAGTCTGCCACTGTCTAATGCTGTTCTCTTTTCTTAAAGCCCTTCCAACTGTAATGAGCGCTAGAGGTAGACCAGCGCATTCTTTCACAACGTCCTTAGCAAGATCTTGTATTCTAGGGGACATAAACACCTCTTCGCCAACCTTTTGTTTAAACAAGTCCCATCCTTCTTCCATGGAAAGCACACGAACTTCAATCTCTTTTACTGTTTCCATGCAACGGCAGACATTTGATGACCTGGTAGTTATTAACAATTTGCAACCATTTAGATTTGTTGGGTTAGGAATTCCTATTTCCTCTAGAGAAAATGCTTTCCACAAATCATCAATCATTAGCAGAAACCTACCTCTTCTTAGAAAAGCTTCATATAGTTTACTAGCCCTTTTATGTTCACCATCTTCATCACCAAAAGATAAACCTATTTCATTTGCAATGCCCTTCTGTAGCTTTTGCAGATTTGAATCCTTGGATGCAGTTACCCAAATAACATTATCAAAAAGTGCAATTTTGCTTAACAGTTGATTATTGATTTCTTTAACGATGGATGTTTTCCCCACTCCTCCCATCCCATAAATACCAATAATTCCAATATTTTCATCCATCAGGAACTCCCAAGTTCTCAATAAAATTCTTTTGGCAGTCTCCCCTACTAATGTAGTCACTGGCAATGCCTTTCCTCTCTCCAGTACCATATTAACCAACGAACTGGCTGAAAATTTGTTATCATCAAGGAGCTTATGAACCTCGTGCATCTTTTTTGTAATAGAGTTTCCCAACTTTAACCTAAGGTAATAGTTTGGAAAACATCCACATAAACAGCTTTTATTATCTTGAATTTCCTTTCCCAAACTAGCCATGATAGTTTTCATCTTCTGCACATTTTCTAGCCACAGATTTACTTCAGCTGTGGGATCCATCCCACTCAACACCTTTTCCAAGTGTAACCTTTTTATCACATCGGCTTCTCGAGCAGTAAGTAACTTTAATTTTTCTTCCAATATCAATAATACAGATTGAGGTTTTCTCAGATACCTGCATTGCTCGGAGATTGAGCCATTTGAACAGCACTGTCCACATAAAAGTTGAAATATGCTTGCAACAGCACCAACAATTTCCATAGCCAGTATCTGCCAAGAACAGAAAAGAAGCCAAATATAAGAACCAACTGAAAAACTAATCAATTCACGTTTAGTTACAGATTGGACACAGATAAAGGATCCAAGATAGATATTTTGATGGAGTTGACATTGGAAACATTCCAAAAACATGCACTTAATTTAGGAGTAAAAAACAACATACTGTGATTTATTTTAATCGATTTTTGGGTATAGTAATTTTTGTCATTCAATAATTATTAGCCTTTTAAAGGTGAGCCAAGAGGTTCAGAGTGGAAGAAGATCAAAGAACGCCTATGTTTGGGTTTTCTATTCTTTTCTTAAACATATTCAATCCAGCCCCTAGTACATCTCAGCCCTTGTCCACATATGTAACACATGCGTAGCCAATATATACATTCTTGTGAGCTTACACGCCACCACCAAATATAACTATATTGTCCGTCTAACTCGCATCAACCGGTATGCACCCTTACATTCATGTTAACAAAAGTCAAACTTTCTAGTTCTAAAATTCTAAATATAGTACAATACCATTAATCTTGGGATTAATTTGTACAGCTTGTAATTATCCTCTTTAGTAGTTGTATGATTACTTAATTTTAGTAATGTACCTTGACATGTAATGTACCTAGTTTGTATATAAATCTATCAATTATCAATGAAAAGGTATGACAAAATTTTCTGCATAATTTCTTTATGGTATGAGAGCTAGGGCAATCAATATGTCCTCCTTCTGTTTTTATTTTTTAATCACCTTCTTCAACTTTCATTGCTATAATTGTTTTGTCATCTCTAGTTTTCTCAAAAATTTATCTATTATTTTCAAAAAATCATTACCATGTCTTTCCTATCTGAGTCTTTCAAAGCTAATGCATCTTTTGAGACTGCTACAGGAGTCCATTCAAATGAGCTCTGAAGTATTCAAGCTGCCTATCGCCTCAATGGAAGGAATTACATGATGTGGTCTCAAGTGGTTCGTAATAAACTCAAGGGAAAAGGAAAACTCCAATACTTGCTTGAACTGGCACCAGACAAGGACGATCCCAAATATGAGGCATGGGACGTTGAAGACTGTTTAATCATGTCATGGCTTTGGGATTCAATGCATCCAGAAGTAAGCGAAAATTGCATGTTCTTGACAACTGCAAAGGAGATCTGTTAAACTAAAAGATGCTGCCTTGGTCTTTGAAATAAAGACTAAGATTCAATCAACCAAGCAAGGAAATCTGTCTGTCACTGAATATTACAATGCTTTGAACACCTTATGGCTTGAACTTGATTACAACCATAACATTAAGATGAAGTGCAGTGACGATGCCTCTTTATTATTTAAGTTCATCGAAGGAGAAAGGATCTATGAGTTTTTGGCGGGATTAAACATGGAATTTGATCAAGATCGAGTCCAAGTATCGGGAAAAGAAGAACTACCACCTCTTAATGAGGTCTTTGCTATTATTAGAGGAGAGGAAGGAAGGAGATAAGTTATGATAGAGGCCCCGGCCCTCAAACAGGAAGGATTTGCTCTATTGTCCACCGTAGAGGCCTCTAAACCCGAAGGATCTGCCTTATTGTCTACAAAAAGGCCTGTGAACAGCCAAAATTCTTACCAACTGAAGCAAAACAATCGTGATCGATCAAGGAATAACGACTTATTTTGTAACTACTGCAAAAAGACAGGACACAAGAAAGAAGATTGCTGGAAATTGAAGGGAAAAACACAATCAGACAGAAACTACAATGGGAACTACAATGGCAACAACTCTCAGCAATTTCTGTGAATCAAAAGCTATGGAATAGGCAAGGAAATGTAGCTATTACAAGGGAAATATTAGACCAGCAAGAATTGCATATGTTCAACAAGGAGGAGGTTGAAAAAATTCAAAGTCTACTCTGTACAATAGACAAGCCAACTGGTTCATATTCCTTGCAAATGCAGGTATCTATTCTGTCCAAGCTCTCTCTGCCTCATTAAACAGCAATCATAGCAAAGCATGGGTGATAGATTCAGGAGCCACGGATCACATGACCAACTCACCGTCTCAGTTTTCTTCACACACTCCGTGTTCTGGACATTAGAAATTTCGGGTGGCAGATGGAACTATAGCTTCTATAGCAGGAACATGAACTATTTCAATCCCTCAATCTATTACTCTTAAATCTGTACTCCATGTGCCTATATTGTCCATGAACCTATTATCTATTCCAAAGTTAACTAAAGATTTCAATTGCAAAGTGGTTTTCTCATCTGACAAGTGCACTTTTCAGGATCCAACTATGGGGAAGATGATTGGGCTTGCTAAGGAGAAGGACAGGCTGTACTACTTAGATACCAACAGTGGCAAAGAGGAAATGGAAGTAGCTTTTTCTCATTTATCAGAATCATTATCATCAAATAAAATCCAAATATGGCGTCATCACTATAGGTTAGGACATCAATTATTTCATGTACTCAGAAACATGTTTCCTCATTTGTTTAAGGGAATTAATACATATTATTTTCAATGCAAATCGTGTCAATATGCCCACCACCAACTAGTATCATTTCAACCACTCAATAATAAATCATTGTTTCATTTTACTATCATTCACACTGATGTTTGGGCCCCATCTAGATTGCAAATCTAATGGTGCCTATTAGTTTATTACGTTTAGTGATGATTGCACAAGAGTCACTTGGTTATTTCTTATGAAACACAAATCTGATGTGAGCACAATTATCCCAAATTTTCTATGCATGATTCGAAAGCAATTCAATGTCAAAGTCAAAATACTCAGGTTGGAAAACAGAAAAGAATACTGCAATCAAATCATATCCCCTATCCTACAAACTGAGGGAATCATATACCAATCCACATGTCCTGATACACCGCAACAAAATGGGGTGGCGGAGAGAAAAAATTGACACTTACTCGAAACTATCCGAGCATTACTATTCGAAAGAAAAGTCCCAAAACAATATTGGGGTGAAGCAGTTCTAACTGCCACCTATCTAATCAATAGAGTCAAATCTCGAGTCCTCCACAATAAAACTCTCATTGAGGTCCTCTCTGGTTTTTTCCCTCATATTGATTTAATCTATACATTACCACCAAAGATTTTTGGGTGCATATCATATGTTCATATTCACTCCCACCAACGTAGCAAACTTGACCCTAGAACACTTAAGTGTATCTTTATTGGTTATCCTAATACACAAAAAGGATACAAGTGTTACCATCCACCCACAAAAAGATTCTTTGTCACCAAAGATGTTACATTTGCAGAAAACCAATCCTTTTTGGGGACATCTTCTCTTCAGGGGGAGAATTTAAGAGAAGAGAAGCACAACCTATTTAACTTTGACAATATTGCTGACGACGTACCTGATCTAATATCATCCCACCAACAGCTACAAGTACTTACCCAGTAGTTACAAAATCATGACCTGCCACCAAATACCACTACTGCAAAACCATTAGCACCTGCATCATCCATTCTCCCCACCTCAAATTCTGATATTAATGAAAAATTAGGAAGACAAACTCCCAAAGTGCCATTGCAAGTCTATTCAAGGAGACGGCCTGATCTAGAACCAAAGCAAGTCCAATCTTCTGAACCATTAGCAGGTAATTAAGAGGTATGTACAGATTTGACTGATCTTGATGTTCCTATTGCAATTCGAAAGAGAACTCGAAAGGGCACACAACATCCTATTGCGAACTTTATCTCCTTTGAGAATCTCTATCCATCTTATAGATCATTTCTCACAAAGCTATAGCTAGATAAAATACCTCGGAGTGTGGATGAAGCCCAACAGCATGAAGAATGGAAACAGGCAATAGCAGAAGAAATGACAGTCCTAAAAAGAAATCGAAGATGGGATCGAGTCGAATTACCAAAGGGAAAGAAACTTGTAGGATGCAAATGCGTTTACACAATAAAGTATAAAGCGGATGGATCTCTGGAAAGGTATAAAGCACGACTAGTGGTTAAAGGATACACTCAAACATATGGAGTTGATTATTTGGAGACTTTTGTTTCCGTGGCAAAGATGAATACAGTCGGGATACTCTTATTCTTAGCAGCTAATTTCGACTGGCCTCTACTACATTTCAACGTGAAAAATGTCTTCTTACATGGAGATTTGGAAGAGGAGGTCTATATGGAGGCACCACCAGATCTTAGTGAATCTTTTGGAGGAAGAACTGTTTGTCGACTAAACAAAGCTCTGTGTGGGTTGAAACAATCTCCACGAGCATGGTTTGGGAGATTCACACAAGCAATGAGAAAAATGGAGTTCAAGCAATCTCAAGGAAATCACACCCTTTTTATAAAAAGGTTAAAAGATAATAAAGTTATAATTTTAATTGTATATGTTGATGATATTATTATAACTGGCAATGATCATTGTGAGATTGGGAGACTAGGGAAGAAGCTGGTGGCAAAATTCAAAATTAAAGAGTTAGGAAAACTGAAGTACTTCCTGGGAATCGAGGTAGCATATTCTAAGGAAGGCATATCTATCTCCCAACAAAAATATATTCTGGATCTACTTCAAGAAACAGGGATGCTCGGGTGTAAAACTTCAGAGACCAATTGATCAGTCACAAAAGCTAGGAGAAGAATCAGGAGATGTGCAGATAGATAGGGGGAGATATCAAAAGCTGGTGTGAAGACTAATCTATCTATCACATACCCGTCCAGATATAGCATATGCGGTAAGTGTGGTTAGTCAATCCATGCACTCATTGAAAGAGCAACATTTAGAGGCTATATAAAAGATTTTGAAATATCTATAAGGAACGCTTGGAAAGGGAATTCTCTACAACAAAGGCGCATCACTCGGTCCTGAGACTGATATGAATGCTAACTGGGCAGGTTCTGTAGTAGATAGAAGATCAACCTCAAGACATTGCACTATTTTGGGAGGAAATCTTGTAGCTTGGAAAAGTAAGAAGCAAGCAGTAGTAACAAGATCAAGCGCAGAAGCTGAATTTCCCACTATGGTGTTGAGAGTTTGTGAAATTATGTGGCTAAAGATTATCCTAGATGATTTGGGAGTCAATTGGCAATGAACCATGAAACTTTATTGCGATAATAAATTAGCTATTAACATAGCTCATAATCTAATAAAACATGATCGCACAAAGCATGTGGAAATAGATCGTCATTTCATAAAGGAAAAATTGGAAAGCAGATTGTTATGTATGCTGTATGTTTCAACCGGAGAGCAACTTGCTGATATTCTTACAAAGGGACTACCTAGTGCTTCACTTCATAGGATACTAGACAAGTTTGAAATGAAAGATATTTTCACCCCAGGCTTGAGGGGGAGTGTTAACAAAAGTCAAAATTTCTAGTTCTAGAATTCTAAATATAGTACAATACCATTAATCTTGGGATTAACTTGTACAATTTGTAATTATCCTATTTAGTAGTTGTATGATTACTTAATTTTAGGAATGTACCTAGTTTTTATATAAATCTATCAATTATCAATGAAAAGGCATGACAGAATTTTCTCCATAATTTCTTTAATTCATATCCTATCGCCAACCACCTTTGGAAACATCCTCATGTGCAACCACTGTGATGATGGCCGCTAGTCACCACCACATTTGTTTCTGATCCACCATTTGTGCAATATATTGCCTGTAGTTATAGAGACACAGTGCCACTATATAAATCTTTAACATCCACAAGATGATACTACTACAAATTCTGTTAGACATGTGATTACTGTCATGTTGGAACACCATGGTCAGTTCAGTCAATATCCCAACAACTATTTTCTAGTGTCAAAATCAGTTGAAGCAATCAATGTCTAATTGGTGAGTCTCACTTGAGCCTTCACCCATGCTAAACGCATCAGAGCTATAAGTAGGTTAGCTGCTGTTTGTTAAAGGGCGCTGTAGAATTCTAAGAATTGACCCTAGCATTTTCAGTCTCAGTAAGGTAACAATTTCTACTAGACGAAACTTGTACTTCTAATTTTAAGTGTACAATTTGTTATATTTCTCATCCTTGCACTCATTCACTCTGAAAGTTACTACTTGCCCATTCCTCAAGGGCTGTTAGGTTAAGATTAAGAGTTAATCAAAATATGGTAGGGATTAAAATTCAGATTTTAATCTAAGTCAAAGTCAACAATTAATTTTAACCACATACTTCATGGACCCACAACTTTTCAACCACATATTTCATGGAATTCACAACTCTTCAAACACACATTTCATCAACTTTTATCAAAATCTATTAATAATCTGATTTTAATCTCCACAACATAGAGGCTCAATAAAGTGAAAAAAGAAATCACTTGAATTCAACCTTTTTTTCTGGTTATCCATTATATCTTTGAAAATGGACTTCCATGCTCTATTACATATCATTTTTAATCAATAAAAAAAGATCAATCCAAACAAAAACTATAGCAACACATATTCTTCAGGGTTTCTTTTCTCATTTGTGCACATTGGTGTAAGACATAATTTGAAAATGGCTAACGTAATTTACGTTATCTCAGCACTACCCTCCTTGTCTCATTATTACCATCATGAAGCTTGCTGAACTCTGAACCCATATAAACCCTTAAAATATAGCTGAGACTCTGACGACAACTGCCAACTACCAGCTAACAATAACTTCGTTCTTACTTTCTAAAATGTGCATCTGTTAATTTTATACAGCCTTGTCCTGGTAACCCAATTCATGTAGGGATGCTATGTCTTCTTCCTCTAACTGCATTTCATCAGCTTCCAAACTTTTACGCCACCATAGGATGCTATAGGACGTATGGCGTCTAAGTGTCTAGTGAACTGTTGTGCAAGAACATGAGCTAACATCCCAGCTCAAAAGATGATGAGCATTTTACCCTTATTCAGATAGAAAATTCTAATTGCAAAGGAAGAGAATATTGAAGGTTATTATGATAAAGGAGTTGTCCCTGTTGTGAGAAGAGCCTTGTCCACCTTCAGTGACTGATGCACTGAAGCATTGCAAGTTTCCATACCAAGATATCCTGCGATCAATCCTTAAAAATTGTTAATAGTGGGGGGTAGAGCCATAGATATAGCATCCGAAAAAAGAGGATTTCCTAACTCTTGATCCTGATTCATTATACCAATATATACAATGTAGCTTATTAGAGTCGAGTTCTTTTCAGCTAGGGGGAATGATGAAGATTTTTACGGAATTGGCATTAGAAATATACCAAGAATATTGCACTTATATTAGGCATAGAAATGATAACAGATTGTGCCCTATATTTTTATACATTTTTTTTATCTGAATTAATTTTCTTTCAATAACCATTATTAATAAATTAGAAAATTCTCTGTTTGTGCTATTTTGATAAGTTTTCCTTTTTGATAGGAAAGTATAAATACTACTAGGGTTCTGGAAATGTAGTCTATGTAGACAATGATTTGGGTGTTCAATGATATTGAAATTATAGTTCCTACAATTTTGTCAACCAAATGCCTCTATTTAGATAAATCCTAAAATATTCTTCTATATTCACTGGTATAATTTCTTCCTGTGGTACTGTTCTCTCTCCCACTTGTTGGAGGCAAACGATGGAAATAGAAATAGAATAAAGATAAAATTTAGATATGGTAGCTCAACTACAGGCCTAACTAGTCGAGTACAGCATGTCTTTACGATTAAAAAATCGCAGAAACTATGAATTCGTTTTCAAAAAGGTTAAATTCAAATTTTGTCCTTTAAACAAAATATTAAAGATGAAAAATTCTATTTGTACATAATTATTGCACATAATGGTGTCATAATGTGATGTGGCAATCATCCTATTGTTGACATGCAAGTGTGAAATTTGAATTAAACATTGAATCCAGTTTTACGTGTAATTATGGACACCATTATGTAGACCGATTATATACATATAGCACTTAAAGAACCACAATTCCAATCAACGTGTAAAAATTAAACTTGAGTTGGATAGACTCAAATTTAACCCCCACCTGTAAATTAATAAGCAACATAAAAGCTTACCTCCAGAAACACAAAAAGAGGAGTAAGAGCAAATTCAAAGCATGAATTAGGAGGAATAACCTCCTTTGCAAAAGAAGAGTCATCTACATTACCCTATTATTTTCTAACACCCAATTATATAGTTGAAAAACAATAATTCTAATTCTACAAATAATTTGAAGTTATCCTGAACAAAATAAAAAGTAGCAAAAGAATCAACGGTTATTGAACAAACAATTCCAACGTATAACAGCAATTGAACTTAATACTTGTAGATCTACGCCCTGAAGGGTTGGAAAGTCGAAATGATAACCTGTTATGCTAGTCAAGTGATTGCGAAAATGAAGAGTCGGAGAATTCAGCACTTGTCAATGGAAATCTGTCTGAGAAAGATTATGTGAAAGAAATGAGAATTGTCTACCCATTCATTGGTAGTTCGAGTTAAAAGAGTCAACCAGAACGAGCGGGGTGGATAAAATTGCAATCATAGCTATCGTTGCTTCGAGGAAAGATAGTATTAAAGTTTTTATACATTTCAATAATTATTGTATTTTTAATACATCAACCTTGATATAAAAATGGCAATCCACTTTCACTGTCATTTCTGGGTCATTGTGTTCACACTTGTCTTGTTAAGGACATGTTTGAATCTTCCATGGAAAATAAATAAAAATTTCCACCTTTTTTGATAGTAATAATTTTCTTGACAATTCAATTTTCTTCACCTTTTTCCTTGGTTTCGTGGAAAACCAATTCTCATCGATGAGAATTGGTTTTCCAGCTTATGAGTACCAAAAAATTCAAAATTTTAATATTTTTTAGATAAAAAATTATACCAATCAAACACATTTAATTGACAATTCTCAATAAAATAAGTTCTAAATAATTCAATTTTTTGAAATTCGTAATTTTTCTATCTAAATTTCATTTTTGCCATTAAACGGACCCTAATACATCTTCTCTATTCATGCAGTGGTTCTATATCCACTGTAGTTAAACTCAATCGGTACTAATTGCTTTGTCTCGAGTGATTATACACGGATTTCTATTCAATTTTGTCCATGTTTGATATTAGGCTCCGTTTGTTTTTCATTTATGTAACAATAAGAATGAAAAATATAGTTGTTACGAACCCCACAAGAGAGATAAAAATTCAAATGTGGTAGCTTGATGTGATGAATAACGGTCATATTTTTTTATTCTATTAAAGAAAGAATGAGCCTATATTTGAGTCATATTTTAGGAAATGCATTATTCATGTCAAATCAATGGGAAATGTGTGGTTAAAAGATAAGAAAATATTTTATATTTGCGTATAATATTATTTTATTGAACAATGTGTCGTTGAAATAATGTCAAATCACTATTAAAAATGTATGTTTTTGAAAATAATATGGTTCAAACAAGTATTGAGAAACAAACAGGGGCCAATGCAGACAAATTTGATTTCACTCTAAGAGTCTGATTGGGAGTGATTTTGAAAATTGATTTTTTGATCGTTATGAGAAAAGTGGGGTCCATCTATGAGAAAAGAAATCGAATATAACGACTGGAATAATGAAATAACGGTTAAAAAATCAGAACAAAAAAATACTCCCAAACATCTGTAAATTTTTTACAATAGTCAGAAGACAAGTTTTCTTTCCATTTTTTCCAACTGTAGGCCTGCAACATTAAATGATCTAGTTCTGTATATCTTCTTTCACATGCAAAATTAAATCCGATTCAGCCCTTTACACTCTTTTCCGTTCCTTTCTCTTCCCCTCAAAAATTGGCTCTATACAATGAAATTTAGAGTGCACTACCTACCATAGGAAAAAATGATAAATACTTTACAAACCTAGTAGTTCAATATCTACTTCTCAACATAATTCTATATTTACAGAGGAAATCATTGAAAATGACCCAATAATCCATGTCTATTTCTAAAGTAACCCTTGACCAATTTTTAGAGGGGAAAAAACGAAAATTGATTTTAAATGTCAAAATTCCAAAATACCCTTAGACGGTCACTTTCTCATTTGCTTACAGTCGGCCAAAACAAAGGAAAAGCTACAGCAGGTTTCCAGTCGGTAGACATTTTCAGTTCATCTCCGGCGACCTTCTTCTTGTTAAGGTAAGCTTCGAGTTGTTAATTAACTAGATTAATATTTAGATTTTCATATTGTGTGTGAATGTTGAATTTGTGGAGATTTTTGGAATGTAATATTGGTTATGCAGGTATAGAAGTATGAATATAAGTCTAAATTGGAAGGATAATAGGTGGATTTTGAGATTTGCAAACTTTTCTCGCCAAAAATAGAGATTTTTCAGCAAGAAAAGCCGACAGAAACGCAGCCGACATTTTGGGAATGTTAACAGTTGGTGCCCGACTGTTATGGGTTGACTAACAGTTAGCCCCATGACTGCTTTTATTTTTCATGGACTAACTGTTAAGTGAGCCGACTGTTATAGTCGGCCCAATAACAAAGTGTTTTAATTTGGGATGATTAATAGTTTGCCCATTATTTGGGTTGACTGTTTAGTCGGCCTATTTTAACAATCGGCCCGCTGCCTTTATTTTTTTTTTACGCATATTTAAGGATTCCATTTTAAATAATTTTAATTATTAGTTTTTAATAAATAATAATTTATTTATTTGTAAAATTTAAATGTGATTTTTAATTTTAATTAGAATATTTATTTTTATTTCCTCATTTTTGATAAATAATAATTTTTCATTCTAGAATTTAATTAATTTTTAAAATTTTAATATTTAATAATTCTTTTGATTTTAAATTTAAATTTCATATTTAGTTTTATTAATAGTTTTTTTATAAATAATATTCTTTTCGTTAATCGAATTTCATTAATTCTTGTCACTGTAATTTTGAATAATTATTTAATTTTTAAATTTCATATTTTTTTATTAATTGGGCCGACTGCAAGATTGTTAACGGTCGGTTCAAGACAGTCAGACTATTAACAGTTTAATTTTTTAAAGAATATATATATATATATTTAATTTTTAAATTTTTTATATATTTTTTAATTAATTTATTAATAATTATGTTATTTATTTATTTTGTTAATTGACTTTTATTTATATAATTTAATAATTTAATATTATCTGAAAGTAACAACTATTTTTTACATTTGTATTGAATTTATTTTGTTATTAGCGTCAAGAATTCGGTTCCCGTTGATTTTTTGAGATTATGTGTTATATTATTATCTCTTGTTCAATATTCTAACATTTGAATTTTTGCAGGATGGAGTATCATTTAGATGGGGAGTTGAGACGGATGACGGGGAAAGCTACTTGGAACAGTAGCTTTGAAAGCTTTACTGCTGTGTTGGAGCTGCTTGATAATCATCACGGAGATATGCTACGACAATCCTTCTTGTGGCCACTGTACCAGATGCGAGAGGTGCAATACTCAGGACAGATCATCGATACACTTCTATGTCAGCTTCTGAGGCTAGTCGACGGTGATTCCGGCCACTTCGACATCGGGGGCAAGGTCGTCAGTTTCTCGATGTATGAGTTTAGTTTAATCACTGAACTGAAGATTACGGGCGACGATGCAGCTATCGAGAGAAGCAATAGGCTGTACGAGACGTACTTCCAAGGACATGGGTCGGTGCATCTACCCGAGTTAATGGTCGCGATCACGGGGTGTGACCAAATGCTAGATAGATTGAGGTTTGGGTTGGTCTACATCCTCGAGAGTGTGATGAGGTGTCATCACAAGAAAACTGCTATCGACATTTTTCATTTGAAAGTTGTTGACGACATCGATGCGTTTAACAACTATCCATGGGGTCGGAGATGCTGCGAAGACACCGTACATGTCTTCACCAGATTACACTCGAGGCCCAAGTGGTCAATGCGTAAATACGATATATATGGATTGTCCTTAACGGTGCAGGTAACTGTTTAATATAATTAAAGTTAAAGTTTTAGTATATTACATTTATGCATAATAAGTGTATGTGTTGAAAATTTGGGTGTAAGAGACAGTCACTGCACTGGGGGCTCGCTTTGCAAAGCGAGGGGAGGGGAGACACGATGCCCTTGGATGCATCATTGGAGATCGTCGCGAGCGGACGGATGTCCCACTGGGAAACAATTATCGACCCTCCTCGACGATCCTCAAGTAAGTATTATGCATTTGTGATTTATATTATACGTAATTTAAAATCTGTTTACACGATCGTTAACTAGTTGAAATGTCAATATGTCAGCTTGAAGTCATACCTGAGTTGACGTTGTCGATGGAAGAGTATGCCCTATGGCTCTGCACCTGCCACACCTACACAGTCGAGGAAACTCTCCGATAGATGGCATTCTAGATGTACTTGAACGTCCAGGACCACGCGGTTCAACTGCTGGTGTCAACAAATTATGAAACGGGAGAATGTGCTCCGGAACTTCCCACTCGGCTTCATTCGACAGAGGAAATATAGTCTCAGCATATGCTGTTCTCCAAGACTCAGTCGTATAATACAAAGAGCATAATGTTCTCACTGCAAAGTCTCGATACATGGCCACCGCAACTGCATGCTCACATGAAAAACTCTTCAACTGAAATATCGTACAAATGCATATGTTATCAGTCAAGTCCACCATATATGCTGTATTACGTGCACATTGCATGAAGAAGCGAAACTCATCTAGTACTTCCACATTTAACTTCCTCGCAACCTCTGCCGCCTCAAAGAGTTTCTCCTCTTGAGTTGGGGCCAACACGCTAGTGCAACTCTGTGATGCCGCACATCGGTCATGAAACCATTGTTGCGGTTTGTTACGAATGTTCTCAATCATTGCGAGAATTGGTAATTCCCGATCCTTCTTAAACAATGCATTGAGAGACTCCGCATTATTCGACTTCATCATATTGTATCGACGTCTTGGAAAGAATGACCGTGCCCAATGTTCGATCCCCATATTCGTCAAATACTCCAACGTCGGTAATGATTTACTTCCTATCTTGAATATGAACTTATTACACTCTTCAGCACTGTAAGTTTCAGCTGCTTTCCTGAACAATGAAATGATACCTTTGCCCTAATATCTAGTTTTCAAATTACCTTGTATATGGTACATGCAATACCCGTGATGTGTCTTAGAAAAAATTTTAGCGATACTGTTTATTATAAACTGTCCTCGATCGGTTACAAAGGCAAGGTCTTTGACTTCCCCGATCACTTCCCTCAGTTTAGAAAAGAACCAACGTATGGACAGATCATTTTCGTTGTCGACTATGTCGAATGCAATAGGGTAAATTTGGATGTTGGCGTCTTGACATGTAGCAATAATTAATTTGCCTTGATATTTAGCTTTCAGAGTTGTACCATCAACTAGAATTACAAGTCGCATTGCATTTCGAAAATCCCGAATACATTGTCTGAAAGTCATGTAGAAATACTTAAAACAATTATCGCCCCTCGTCTCAAAAAAAATGTCGTGTCAGGATTAGTTGTCTCCATGTTATGTCAATACCTGACCAATTTAGCATGGCTCTCCTCAGCCGATTCCATTAAATCCTCCAACGCACATTC